GACCCTGGAGAGAGACCCTTGCAGGAACAGTGGCATACCTCACAGTGTCATGGCTAGTAGTAGGTGGCAAGCCACTGCTCTGCTGGAAAACAGCTCCTGGAAATCCTAAGCATGGCATCAGTAACATTAAAAAATAATTTTTAAAAAACCTAAAGAACCAGAGTTGAAAATAAAAGAAAACAATTCATTGGAAAAGGGGAAAGGGGGAAGATAGAGAGAGAGATGACAGACAGCTAACTCTGGATGAGCAGGGAGAGTTCAAAAGTGAAATATTCATGGATCTCTGTCTTTAGCTCCCTTTATTGGGAACTAGCATCTTCTCCACCCCCACATGGGCACCTGAAAGATGTCATTATCTCACTGGTCCTGTCGGCACTCTTTGATCTTAAGCTATGCATGTCTGTCTGCATTTCATCTGGAAGTTTTATTTTTTCCTGTCGTTTTTGTGTTGTTTAAGTGTGAGGAGGAAAAGCCACATAGAAGGACAGCTTAGATTAGAAATTAAGTAAAAGGGGCAGGTGTGTATCTGGCCTGGGTATAGTGATGCTAAGATGAGGATATACAAAAAAGTATACACGCATAGGTATGAGTCTTTTGTATATTAAAAGATCATTCCTGTCTCCCTTGAATTTTTTCAGGTGGTTGAGAGAAGTTGGTTTTCCTGGTCTGTTATGTTTCTAGTTTCTTTAGTGTTCTGTTAATGGTAATCATATTACCTGGTGCCTGTCAGTCTAGCTTTTGTCTGTGTTCTATGTCCCTTTGATTGCTCTAATTGCAGAGTCTAACTTTAGAGGCGGAAACTGCCTTCAGCAAAATATCCTATTAATTTTGTAAATAAAGCTTGATGAGACTTTTTTTATTTTTCTCTATGAATCCCTGTCCCTACAGTGGGACTGAATCCTAAGAGAACAGGGCTCTTTTAATTTTCTCATCTTAAGGTCATCCATGAAACCACACTACCTAAAGAGCCCCAGCAAATACCATTCTGGCTGCAAGTTTCTCAGGCCTCCTGAGTCACAGATGCAGAAGGAAGACAAGAAGGGTTCCAGGGAGAAATCCACAGATGGGAAGAGACTGGAGCCTCTGTACTCATCTTGACCCTGCGATCCCCAGCGTTAACAACAGATTCACTAGCTTGGGGGTCTCCCCTACACCCTCCTGAGGCAGAAGCTTCCAGAATGTATTTTCCCAAGCTCCTCATGGATGCTCCTGCATGTTAAACCAGAAATCATTTGGTCATTTTTCCTGTGGATCTGTCCAGAAAACAAGGACAAGATACCAAGGCCCTGACCATGTCTGTCAACGGGGAACCTGAATTTATGCGTTAGGCTGAACTCCTTGGGGAAATGTGATGCCCACCCAAGTGGAAGAACTTCTTCTTACAAATGAATACATAGAGAGAGACAGAGAGAGAGAGAGAGAGAGAGAGAGAGAGAGAGAGAGAGAGACAGAGAGAGAGACAGAGAGAGACAGAGACAGAGAGACAGAGAGACGGAGAGACAGAGACAGAGAGAGACAGAGAGTCAGAGAGACAGAGACAGAGAGACAGAGAGAGACAGAGACAGAGAGTCAGAGACGGAGAGAGAGACAGAGAGAAAGAGAGAGAGAGAGAGAGAGAGAGAGAGAGAGAGAGAGAGAGAAAAGAAATTTCCAGTAGGAAATCTAATATATATACATCGCTTGGTCTCCCCTGTCACTGAGATTCGACGCTGCCCCAGACCCTGACTCTTGTGCCACTGCCTCAATGCTGGACAGACTGGGAACTCTGCCCAGTTCATGGCCCTGGCTCTTCTCCTCTGATGCCCTTGCACTTGACTAAGTGAAGAAAGGCCCTCCAGATGCCCAGGATCAGCACATCCTTGGAAGCCTTTTTCTCTACGTACATTGAAAAATTGCCAGAAAGGGGCCATTTTTATGGGAGAAGAAAATTGCTTTCAGCATTGTTTGAAATGAGGCTGGTGAAATGTAGAATGCAAATCATAGCACAAGCCCAATTCCAAATCCTGATGTTGCTAACTGTAGTGAGGTTTATTTCTTTTCTAAGAATTCATTGAATCCTTTATAGTTATACAACTAACGCTTTTCTTTGTAGAAATACAGAAAGTAAGAGGAAAATCTTGAAGTTCTCATCATCACATCTGCCCAAAATGCCTTCGTCACACTTGCCACACTACTTCAGTTTGCATCTGAGCATGTCTGCCCCCATCACGGCTGTGACTCCACCTGGGCGGATTACTGTCAGCTCTGTCTCATGGAATGATCTTTGGCTCATGTCCTTTCTGCCCCTCCCTGTCAGCCTCCAACTTGTTTCTTGGTTTCTCACATTGTCAGGCAATTATGTCCTGGGTTACATGTGGCTTCCCATTTGCCCACATAGTTGAGCATCCTGCAAAGCTGTAATCTTCAAGTCACTGCCATTCTCTTTGGGAACCCATATTAGACGTGTCCCTGTGGATGCACATGGAATAATGTTCTTGCACAGGAAAAAATTGCTCTCTGGGAACGCTCTTCCCCATAAATGATCCCAGGGCATGTCACTTCCCAGCATGCCTCTGTTTCCCTGTGAATACGATAGGTTGCAGGATGATACTGGCCTTCCATCAGGGGACAGCTTTTGTCTCCATTTCTTCATCTTTGTTACAGTGTGGATGAGCTTTCTGGTGTTTGGCATTTCTCTGTGTTTCTGTGTGTGAAATGTCACTTTCTTTCTCTTGTTGTTTTCCTACTGAGATATTTCTCTTTAATTGTTGATGTGTAGAAGCCCACCATTTAATGATATTGTTCTTCAGTTTGATATTTTTCAGTTTTATTTTTGCTATTATTTACAACATCTACATATTCAAATGTATTTTTATTTTATCTATAGGAAAATGCAATGTGAGTCATTTTAAAAAATTATTTTTTCAGTAAGGAAATATCTCATCCTCCCTGCCTTGTCACATTCCTAGGAACTGATCTTCCCAAACTGTCATGGTAGTGTAATGAAAGGATCACAGAAGGTGAAGAAACTCATCAGAAAGAACAATGCTAATGGAGATGGCTCCTTCACATGCCATAGAAGATCAGCAAGCCCTACCCAGGCACTATCACCAGCTACTGAAGCAGATGGCCAGGATGGTATAGGAAAGGGGAAACTCCCTGACAGCAGTACTCTGGGTGCAGGGGTGACACAGCCTCTGTCTCACTAAGACCTGGATCTATCTATGGCGTCCCAGCCCTGGAAAACCTGGCAGGTCCTTGAAATGGATCTACTTTGAGAGCTGGGGTTAAGGACAAATGAGGTCAGGAAACCAGGACTCCTAGCCACCCAGGCTCTCAACTGTTGGTGTCTCTGGTTATTCCATGTCCAACACAAGACAAGGTTTCTGCACCAGCTGATAGGGAGGGCAGCAGTAGTGTGTGGAGGTGGTGCTGTTTCCAAGGCCCCAGGGGCTGAGCGGCTTTGGCAGGAGGGATCTCCCTGTATAGAGAAGGCTCTTGTAGAATTTGTTTCATGGTATAGACTAAAAAGGACTTTTCAAATCATCTACTATGTGTTCTAATGCTACATATTCACAATTACTTTACATAGATAATTTTTGTGATCTCAATGACCGGGTTTATGGTACAGAACATGCACATATAGTCAGTGATACTCTCTGAGTTTTCTATTTTGTCCCCTATATCTGGCTTTCTGCTCTTACATCAGTGGTATTCTACATAATGTGACTATTTCACATCTAACTTCAACCGTCTTTTGAAGAAACCATCCCATCACATCTTCTCATCTACCCTAAAATTCCCTCATTGAGAGTTTCTTGTATGCGTATATAAACTAGATGGGGTTCACCACGTGTTCCCCTCCTGCTCTGTGAATTTCAATCTAGATTAGTAGTTGAGTCCAGGCAGTCATCAGAGCTGACTTTGTTAGTACTGGATGTGTTTACACAGTAGTAGAGACCTTATCTCACTGTTCACTTTTACATCCAGAGCCAGGATTATTATCTGTTTGTTATTATCTGTTTGTTTCTTCTTTGTAAGAAACTTTTTAATGTGTATCCCATGGTCTAAATAACTGCTTTGAAGATAATGATAAACTATTGCCATTCAGTCATTATTTTCTAATAAAACTTTATCTCATTTGTTCATTAAAAAGAAAATAAAACATGAAGAGCTCTTTATCATCAACAAAAGGAAATTCTGAGCCCCATGGTCTCTTTCTTTTTATTAATCTCTGTTTGCAATACATAATAATGATATTTGTGTTTGGGGAAATAGGTACATCTCTAAAAGCAGACTGTGTTGGCCACCATGGTTTATTGCTAGCTGACCCACCAAACCTGTCTGCATTCAGTGAAAAGTGGGGGCTTTTACAAAGTAGTTAGATTATCTGGACATTATAGGTGATTTGATATTAGGAAGTGGGGTCTTCTCAGAAGAGGTGGGTCACCATCAGCATCACTTAGAAGGGTTTAATTTCTCTTCCAGCTCCTCCCTTGAGGCTCCTCTGTTTCTGCCTCTGTTTCTGTCTCTTTCTCTCTGTGTCTCTCTCTGTCTCTCTCCCTATTGCTCTCATTCCCGCTCACCAGGACATAAGCAGATTTTCTCCCCAATCAGGCCTTTTTATCATTTAACTGACCACTGAGTGACCGAAACTGCTACAAATTTGAGCAAAAATAAGACAATAAGGCTCTTCTTTAAGCTGTGGATGTTAGGTATGGTGTCTAAGGAAAGTGACTGAGACACTGCTGCAACCCATCTTTCTAGTCACAGGTCCTGCCAGCCTCCAATTCTGTGTTCTTTCCCCTTTATGTCTGCCCATTTTTGTTTTCAAAACTTCTCTTTCCTGCCCTAATTCTTTGACATTCTGTAAGTTTTTTAAACAGCTGAAACATCTTCTGATCCTTGAGGGTTTCCCAAACTTTCTCTGTAATGAGCAAGAACACTGGCACTGCGGCCGTGAGAGTCTTGACACACGCATTCTTTAGCCCATTGTTCACTCACTGATTCTAGAACCTGGTTGCCTCTCCGGGTCACCAGAGGGAAGAAGTTCCACATTCATTACCACTTCCCTAGCCCTACGGACGGAGACTTGCGTGTAACCAGCAGTCTTAGTGGACGCTGAATCCACTCATTCTCCACTATGTCTTTCCTTACATTTCAGAAGGTTCTCCTGGGAAGCCTCCTGGTGCTGGCTATCTCTGTGACATCATGCAGTGCCCACTGCTATATCATACCCCTGGAGGGAAGTCCATATGGCTTCCCAGCTGGTAAGTTGGTTTCCGATGTTGATCAAGTTACTGTACTTGGTAGACAGACTTGACAGCAAGTGGAACACTTTAAGTCTACATGGGAAGGTAAGTGAGGGAAGATGCAGAAACTGGAGTAAGTGAGGGCCTGAATATATCAAAATTGTCTTTAATTCTGTCTAGCTAAGAGTTACTCGGAGATACCTGAAATCTGTCAATGCTCAGACTTCACCTAAGACTCAATTATTAAGAATGTCTATGGTCAGAGAAGCACATTCAGAAGCTCCTTGATTAATTCCCATTACCATTCAGGGTTAAGAACATCCCTAGTTCAAAGAGGTGTCAGACTTAGATGTTCATGAGTACCACAGGGAGTTTTCTTAACCTACAGGTGCCAATTCAAGTTACCGCAAAGGAGGTATGAGACTTGCCTGTCCAGGGAAGACCAGGGGAAGGGAAAGTGGGACTTCTGCAAGGACATGGGGGCCCAAAGTCTCAGTAGCAGTTCCCAACATTGGTTAAAAATTGGGATTTCTGGGTGAGTGTTCTGAAATGATGGTCCTTAGGCCCACACCTGGAGATTTTGATTTCTATGTTTCTCAAGATGTTCGCAGGTGCACACAAAGTGACAACAAATGTAAAAAAAATCAAAGTGAAGAAGTACACAAGTGAGTCTTTTATTTAGAGTTCCTCAACAAAGTGAAAGCAGGATTCCAATGCGATTAAAGAGGTGTGCCTTAGTTATTCCTGAAATGTCTATTTTGAAATAAAATATAGGAGGATTTGAGGTTTTTTTTTCATAAATGCTACCAGTTTCATGGACCTTGCAGTACTGAAATGTAGCTGGTGGTGAACAGAGAAGTGCTGTAATATATACCCTAGAGACCATCTCATCTCATGGAAGGGCAGACCTCAGTGTCCTAACGGCTATGTTCCTGTTGCATGACTTGGGGACTCCACTAAGTTTGCTGTATCTATTTTTTTTCAGAATGTAAGGATCTTGTTGGAATCACACACTCAGTGAACTCAAAGTGGGTGACGAGCGACTGTGAGGAATGTGCTTGCAAAACAAATGGAATTTCCTGCTGCAATACGTGAGTCTCAACTCAGTAGTGGCCAAGGAGACACCTGGCTGTCTCTAAGGAGCAGCTCCTCTGTCATTCAAAAGCCCATCCTTTGGTGCTTCTAACAGACTGTAATTTGTAGAGCAGGCTTCGACTCACAGTACATGTATTTGGAACAAGGGTTTCTAAGGACAGTAAACTGTAATATGCTCTTTTCTAAAATCCAGTGGGATGGTCACCATTACTTTGACCTTAGAAGTATCCGGAATAGGAACTTTGTGAGCAAAGGTAGAGATAAAGTTTGGGAGGCATCAGTGACGACCTGGGAGAGGTGTTCAGAGCAGCCTTTTAGGCATGGCAGTGGCTGAGGCTACCTGTTACAGCTCCATGTTGGTTTCATGGCCCTGCCCTTGACCTTGTCTTTGTAGTAAGTGACACTGGACTCTGCAGTGTGCTCTTATCTTGACCATGTTGATGGCTAGTAAACCATTCCATTTTTATTTTGAGTGTAACACAACACCAATTTGGTTCAGCTTCTCTGGGACAATATTTGGACACTTTGCAGGACACTGCATAGGTGTTCAGGTGCTCTATATCTATAAGCCCAGGCTTAGGCTCCCTGAGAAGGGTGCTGTCCTTGCTTTTTTTCTGCACAGGATCAGATTCCAGACTGCAGTGAGGAAGGTACAGAACCAAGGTCAACCAGCTTCTAGTTCTGGGCACTTCATTACCTCATGTCTTTAATGTCCATTCTTAGTCTCTCTCAGCTGCTTCCCCTCTGTGCTAGGTGTGAGTAGAGTTAAGTTGCATCTAGTGATGGGCTCTGTATTCCAGAAACGTGGTCTTGCACAGAGATGGCAGAATTATACATTATTCACCTAGCAGACACATGGAAAAGGATTAGATGTCCTTAAATAATCACTATTTTATTTTAAACTATTTTTTCTACTGAAGTAAAATATACAGTACATAAAAATTTCAAGTCAATCATCAAGTTTAAAATTCATTGGCATTGAGTAACAATCACATTATTGTTTAATAATCGTCAGTATTTTCAAAAAATGTATAGTGGGTTTTTTTTTTTTTTTTTTGCTTTTTTAAAAATAGTACATTGGCTAAAACTCAGGGTTTTCTCTATGCTGCCCTTGAATTATTTCGATCCTTTTGGCTCACCATCCCTAATAGCTGATGGTACAGGTACCCAGAGCATCCCACAACTCCTGGCTTTTTCCAAGAGTTTTTATTGACCTCAAACCCAAAATGTGTCCTTTAAGCTGCAATTTCCATTCCTCCTTCCCACACCCTGCATCCTTTGATTCGCCTTCTGTCTGATTGATTTTCCCTCTTGTAGATCATGACAGTGGAACCCACAATGCTTGTGTGCTGTGTGGACGTTTCTCTTAGTCGCTGTTTGAGGTTCAGCTTCATTATCGTGTATTAGGGTTTCCTTCCTTCACATAACACCGTCAACTGATGCTTGAATTCGTCCTTTGCCTGTGGAGGGATGGGGGAAGAATGCACTTTTTTTACAGTAAATAACTGCTGGGAATATACAAGTACGTTTGAGCTCTGGGGCACCAAGTCTCAAGGGCTCCCCACTGGTTATAGAATCACTGTGCCATATGCAAGTAAGTATTAACCTTGGGGAGTTCCTGAGTGTTTTCCTTTTTGGGTGCACTATGATATATTCCCAACTGAAACCAACCATGTCTGAATTTTTAAAGATTTAAAACAACATTTTCAAATATATGTGAAGAAAACATATTCATTGTAGAACCATGGAAAGTATACCAGAAAAATCCCCAAGCTTACTGCTGATTGTCTACAAGTAGTAATCAGGAATATTTTATCATAACTTCTTTTTATTTTATGTGCCCTCTTGTATAATGGATATGAAACATCATGGTGTCTTTTTGTTGTCAATTTGTCAGATTAAAATACTAGCACAGTCACTATTCCATCCCAAAATGACTCTTCAGAATGTTTTGCAATGCAGCTTAACCAGTTTTCAGTCTTATTTAAACCAATACCTGAGAGCCCACAGAATGCATCCATTCACAGAATGACACCCACGGGGCTCTGTGGTCATTTGTCCCCTTGGTCATTGCACAGTGTGCTGGGCATCATGGGCACACATCTGCCTTCATTTTTAGTGCATCACCAACGAATGCAAGTGCCAATATCCAGGGCCCCAAAACACTGAGAGCCACACTTCCTAGGGTTGTGAGAAGATCAAAACTACCTATTTTACTAAATATGAAAGACAACATCACTTGATGAAAGTAAACATTGCCCAAGCTGCTTCTCTCCACTTGGGGAAGTTTGCATCAAAAACCATGGAATGGACTTCAAAAAGTTATGCGCACTAAATTCTTCATAACACAAAATGTGCAGTGCATTTTCCAAGAAGAGGCCCCAGATGGGTCATCATGTCGCTGAGACCCATGACCCTTGCTGGGATGGCTCCTTGCTGCTGTTGGTAACAGGAAGCCATACTGGCCTGCAAAAGTTCTCTCGGGTGCAGCAGTACAGGTCACTTCCTGCATAGGGAGGTGTAGAAGGGCCAGGCTGGAAAGTGTCTCCTGGCAAAGTTGTGGCAGACCTGCCCCAGGCCTATCTGAAAGTCCGTGACCTTCTGTGCGTGCATAGAGGAACATGGGACCCACAGGAGTGCTGATCTGTGTGACTCTACCGTACAAAGTGGTCCATGTTTCTGATGACCCACATGGGGGCTGACACCCCAGATGTGTCATAGATTAGTAAGGGCCAACCCAACCAACAGGAGTGTGAGCTGCTTTGCACACAGAACTGGAGTATAGCAAGCTGGCCTGGCTGGTGTCCTTGTCCTTCTAACTGGCTGCAATTTTCTCTCCATGACAGAGTTTCTATACCTGTGGGATATGACAAAAACAAGTGCCAGTCCTATTTCCACAAGGAGAACTGCACCTACACCGTGGTGGAGATTGAGGACCCCAGAAGGTCCTGTATTGTAGATGCCTGGATACTGTAATACCTCCTCTGAGTCTGGTGTGCCCTGCCAGGCCTCCTCCAGTGTTCCCTCATAATCTGTAATTGTGCAGCCCTTCTTAGCATAAAATTGTTTTGAGCAAACTGTGGAATACCTGTATTCCCTCATAATCTGTAATTGTGCAGCCCTTCTTAGCATAAAATTGTTTTGAGCAAACTGTGGAATACCTGTGTTCTTTGAATTTACTAATTACATTTGCGGTAACTGAATGCTATTATAAAACACACAAGTTGTTGAAAGAGGAGACAAAAATAACTACAATGACCATCACAGCATGTTTCATGCACTGCAATTGGTCCTCATGTGCACCTCCCCAGAGTACCATGGGAACCTCTGCCTCTTCTCACACGAGCCTTCAGCTTCCTGTTTCCTGAGACTTGGTGGATAAAATAAAAACAACAGTCTTCAGATTGAAACAAGATTGCATCGTGGTAAGCAGCGTTCTCGTCCACACCTCTTTTTCTCTTACAGTGTCTTTTCTGCTCTGCCCAGTCCCTCTGCATTTGCTCAGGCGCAGTACAGTATAGGACAGGATAGGACAGGTTGAAGATGTTCCTGCAGGATGCCCTGTATCCCAATCCCTACTAGGAATCGAGGCCAGGCTGTGGCAGCGGGGGTCCTGACCTGGGTTGGCCCAGGGCTCCTAGTATGTCTTCCTGAGCGCTGATCTCCATCAAAGAGTAGCTTCACAGAGTGATGAGCTGCACCTGCTTCACAGTGTTGGTGACAAACGCTTAGTGCTTCCTCTACTGTTCAGTGAGAGTCTGAGAGTGGGGAACTGGGTCTGTGATCTAGTGTTGAACTGAGAGCTCAGGCCCCTGATACCCCAGGGCCTAGAGCAGCTGCATGCACCTTACAGATCTCAGATGAGCAGTGCCGGGGCACCTGATGCAGAGCTCCTTACCCCCACTCCGACCCACTCTTTTCAAACTTGCTATTTGGACCTGAAAGCTCGTGGAAGGCCCAAGTCTCAGCAGTGGTTCTCAACCTTGGTTAAACATTGTGATCTCTGGGTGAGTGTTCTGAAATGGTGGCCTCATGAGCCCATTCCTGGAGATTTTGATTTCCATGTTTCCTAAGATGTTCATAGGTACATGCAGAAGTGAGATCAAATGTAAAAGAAACAAATTGTAAAACTACATATGTGAGGGCAACATTTTGTGATACTTGATTAGGTGAAAGTGGGCTCCCAGTGTAACTAAAGAGGGAGGCCTTAGATACTCTTGAAAAGTTTATTTTAAAATGAAACATAGAAGGATTTGAGTTTTTTTCATAAATGTTACCAGTTTCATGGACCTTGCAGTACTGAAATGTAGCTGGTGGTGAACAGAGAAGTGCTATAATATATACCTTAGAGACCATCTCATCTCATGGAAGGGCAGACCTCAGTGTCCTAACAGCTATGTTCCTGTTGCATGACTTGGGGACTCCACCAATAGTGCCGTGTGGATTTTTTTCAGAATGCAAAGATTCTGATGGAACCACACACTTAATGAACTCAAAATGGATTACGAACAACTGTGTGGAATGTACTTGCGGTACAGATGGAATTTCCTGCTGCAATATGTGAGTCTCAACCCAGTAGTGGCCAAGGGGGCACCTAACTGTGTCTAAAGAGCAGCTTCTCTGTCATTCAAAATCCCATCATTGGTGTTTCTAACAGACTGTAATTTTGTAGGGTAGGCTTAGACTCACAGTAAATGGAGCAGAGACAGAGCTCTCTCACCGATGTCCTTTGCCCTATATGTCCAGTATGCTGATGGTCAGTATATCAGAAAAAGTTACAAGAGCTTCTCTGGAGAGTCTGGATCCACACATGATCATCACTCAGACTCCACAGAGTCTACATGAGGGCTCACTCAATGTGTTGGAGGATTGGAGTTCTCAGTCCTGTACCTTGCAGAGATCCAGTGGATTTAGTACATGCGTGCTGTTGTGCAGCAGCCTCCCACTCATCCCCTGAGTCCTTTCATCATACAGAACTAAAACTCAGCACACATGCAGTCCTCACTCCTCTTTCCCTGTCACCCACCTTGGCCACCACTGTCGTCCTTTCCGCATCTGCGAGTGTCACTGCTCTATGGTCTCTTATTCCTGCATGCATGAAGTATTGACCTGTTGAGACTCCTTTACTGAACCCAGCACAATGTCTTCAAGGTTCACCTCTGCTGCAGAGTGTGTGAGAATAGCTTCCCTTTCAAGGTCCTTTATATGTCACAGTATGGACAGAACACATGGTGCTTATCCTGCACCTGTGGATGGGCACTTAAAGTAAGATGGCTCAGTTTTACTTCTCTTTACCTATTCATTGTACTTACCCAGAAATACCTATATGCACATAGGTTTCTGTGGACAGGAAACTCTACCCAATAATCTGATGCTTTTCTGTAATTTGACCTGGTGGTCATCGTCTCTTTGACCTTAAAGGAGTTTCCAAAATAGGAGCTTTGTGAACAATAGTGGAGAGAAAACGTGGGAGGCATCAGTGATGACCTGTATCATTCCATATCTTGTAATTCTATGTTCCTTCCATGCCCACACTGAACTCAAGGCAATCAAGGAGCTTACAGGGGTTTTTTGGCTGGTTTTTTTACGGATGCCAAAGGTGTGGTACTTGGAGGGATAAAGAACAGGTACATGCAGCCGTGTTTGCTCCAGGCCCCTTATACCCACCAAATGAATCTGATGATTTCCTATCATTCAGGCCTGGTTGTAATGTTTCTAAGGACAAGAGTAGCATTTGTTTCCTTATGTTTTTGCAGTGGGGTAGGGATCCAAGAGTCCAGTATGCTAGGGTACTTCTCTAGCAACTCCAGGCCATGTGTTTGCTGACAGAAGTGTTGGTATGAAGGGCTATTTCTGAATATTGTCTCTGAATTTCATTGTAACTTAAGATTCTGAGAGTTTTATACATCAACCCCAGCAAGGACAGCAGTGGGTGGGCAGTCTGAAGTGAATGCCTGAGTTCTAGGAGAGTTAAACCATCTGGCTGGATGAACCCTTGTGATTGGCACACAGCAGAAAAGGAGGAGAGTCCCGTGACCAGACTGGGAGAGGTGTCCAAAGCAGTCTCTAAGGCACTACAGTGGCTGACTGCTACCTGTGACAGCTTCATCTTGATTCTGTGGCCACAAGATTGACATTGCCTTCACAATAAATGACCCTGAATTCTGAAGTGAAGTCCTGTCTTAATCATGTCGAGAGCTGGTAAGCTATTTCATTTTTATTTTGAGTGTAATACAACACCAATTTGGGACAATATTTCTCTGGTACCTTAGTGTCCTAACAACCATGTTCCTGTTGCATGACTCCACTATTAGTGCTGTATGGAGTTTTTCAGAATGCAAGGATCTTGTTAAAATCACACACTCAAAGAACTCAAAGTGGGTGATGAGCAACTGTAATGTACTCTGGGACAATATTTGGTCCTACAACACCCTCTGCAGGACACTGCGCAGATCTCCAGGTACTCTGCTGTATGCCTGGACTGAAGCTCCCAGGGAAAGATGACATCATTGCTTTTCCTCTGCTCAGGCCCAGATCCCAAACTACAGTGAGGAAGCCCAGGGCCAGGGTCATCCAGCTTCTATTTTGGGGCACCTGATCACCTGGTATTTCTGGTGTCATCTCTCAGTGTCTCTCAGCCTCTTCCCCTCCCAGGCTAAGGCTGGTTACCACGAGCACACATCTGCCCTCCCCTCCAGTGCATCAGCAAGGGCTGCAGGTGCCAATGTCCAGGGGCACTCAGTGAGCACTGAGGAACCACATTGCATTAGGAAGGCTGGGAAGAGAATCCCAGTGTCCTCTTTTGTTAAGCTGAAGTCCGGCATCACCTGGGAAAGGCCACATGGTCCCAAGGGGTCACAGGCTGGCCGCATCTTTCCTCATTCAGCAGTTTAAACCTAGAGCCATGGGACAAGTTTCAAAGTTTTAAGAGCACTAAGCTGTTCACATCCCTGAGAGCACAGTGGATTTTCCTGGGACAGTGATCTCGCTGGGATCTGTGACCCTGGCCAGGGCTGTCTCCTTGCTCCTGGTGATGGTGCTAGGTCCTCTGGTGACAGACACACATGCTGGGAGGGTCAGCGTTTCCCTCCCTGTTTCCAGCAGCAGCCATGCAGGCCACTTCCAGAGCAATGCAGGGCAGAAGGCCTGGGTTGGAAAAGGCTTCCTGGTCCAGTGTGTGGCCAACCTGTGCTGGGCTTGTCCGAAAGGTTTCTTCTTTCTCCGCATGGATGGGGGTGTGTGTGACCTGGGTGAGGCTGATCCATGTGACTGTACCATTGAACACCGGGTCTCTGGGAAACCACCGGGGGCTACCAGCCAAGGCGCACCATGGGTCATTAGGGGCTCAGTGACCTCCCACAGTGTGAATTGTTTGTGCACAGAGCTGGTGTGAACAGCAGGGTAAGATGGCCAGTGTCCTATGCTTCTAACAAGCCTTGGTCTTCTCTCCATGAGAGATATGGTGAGCCTGAGGATCTTGACACAAAGAAGTGAACTTAACACAAATCACTTTGAAACCTGTTCCCACAGCATGGTGGATCTTTAGTACTCAGGAAAACCCTGCACTGTCCGTGCCCATGCCTGCATAATGTCACATGCTCCATGGGCCAAGTGACCTCCTCCTTGGTCCTTTAGTAAATCGTGTTTATGAGGCCTACCAAGAAGTAAAGTCATTCTTGAGCAAACACACATAAATGTGTGCTCATTAAGTTTGCTAATGATGTTTGTAGGGTTTGAAAGCTGATTTCAAAGCACACAGGTATTTAAAGGAGGAGACAACCATAAACACAAGGGAACATTGCGGCATATTTCCTATACTGCAATCATGCGTCCCTTCCCAGGGACCAGTGGGCACCTCTGGTTCTCTCACCCAAAAACGTTAAGCTTCCTCTTCCCTGAGACTGGGTAGATTAAGCGGAAAAGTCTTCCAGATGACCCCTCTGTGGTTTGCAGTGCTCATGTCCCCACCTCTTTCTCTAGTTCAGGGAGTGTCCCGGCTGCTGTGTCCCCACATCCTCTGTGATTGCCTGAGGTCAGAGCAGAACAGGTAGGACAGGCTGAAGGAGTTCCTGCAGGATCCCATCAGCCCCTCAGGAAATTAAGTCCAGGGTTCTGGGTATAGGGAACCTAACCTGAGTGCAGGG